AGTCTCCAGGACTCTTATGTGGGGAACAATTAAGGACCCTGCATCGCTGCCCCGTGAAGCGTACAGACATCCGCGCATCGCGGGGACCCTTTGAAGAGGTCGCTCCAGCTGCTGGCCCGTGTAACCGCCTGTCACTAAGGAGCCTGTTCAATGAGTAGCAAGCCCGGTCGGGTGAGGACAGCTCTGCTCCCGCTCTCCCATCACCCCTCTTTACTTGCACCGTGCGTGCGAAGGGAAGTGAGAAGTAGGAAAGGGCGATCCACTGGAATAGGTTAATCCGGATTCATTTCCTAACTGCTCCTTCGCCTGCAGGCAGCAGGGTTCGGCTCAGAGCCAAGTCCGCCGAGTGGGGCCCGTGACCCACGGCGGGGCAGGCAGAAGTCACTTGTGTCCAGGGCAAGCGGGAGCAATGGAAACTTCTTCCCGCGGGTGCGTTTGAAGGGGCAGATTTCTCGGTGCGGGTAAGCAGACAGGCAAAGAGGGAAGGGAGAGCCGCTGTTAGGGCGGATCCCCAGGCAAGGACGTTTTAAAAATTAATTAGCAACCCTGCTTGGCTGGCAAAGGCGGAGGCAGGGAAAGTTCAGGTAGAAAAAGCTACAAGAAACTGCTGACCCAGTGAAGTGTTCTTGTCTGGGCAGGTAGAGGGATCCCGAAAGAGCGGAAAGCAAATGCAACCTTATCTCATCTCACCTGGTCGTGAACTCCTCGAGCGGAGAGGGAAGAGCTGAGCCTGGGAACCAGAGGCAGGTCCGAAAATAAGGAACAGAGGGAGGGAGAGGGCTGGGAGCTGGGGGGGGATCGCTGCTCACAGCCTGGCAGTGCCGTGAAGCCCGGGGAAGCAAGCCCTCCCCTGGCACCGCGGCTCCTCTCAGCTTTTACTCGGCCCTTCCCGGGGTCCAAAGGCTCTTCCCATGAATCGAAACCCGTCCAGGGGGAGAGAGCGGGAGCCCCAGGCTGCAGCAACCGGACCTGCCCCGGCCGCGGGCTCACTGGGAGCCCTCGCTCCCCTCTGCAGCTGCCAGCCGCGGGGTTTTCGTTCGCTTGGGGTTTCATTGCCCTTCGTGGGAGGTTTTTCTTCCCCAGTTTTTTTTTCTGCAGCAAAGAGCAAGGCTAGGACCCCAGACTCCCCTTGTTCGGTTCTGTAGAAGAGAAACAACCTTGCCTGGATGGCCGGATGGATGGACTTTTGGGGGGCAAAGATGAGATGGGGGGACAGAGAGAGGAAGGGAGCTTCCCACCGCCAACTTCAGAGCAAACAACTTTCCAGGTCCCTTCTGTCACAGACAGATCGGCTGGAAGTCCTGGCTAGCAGTGCCCAGCTGCGGCGCAGAGCTCTCCAGCTAAACTGAAATGCAGGGCAATGAAGCAAAGTCTCCACATGAGCCTAGACGGAAATGCCCTTTGCTTGCATGCAGGGATAGGTGTGGAGATACCCGCTTCCCCACCCGGCTGCGGGGGGTTTCTCGCGGACCAGAGCCTCCCGCCTGGGTGAAATCAAGGAGCCTCCTTTCAGGAAATGCAAAGAATCAGCCGCAGCAAATTCCCTCTTAAATCAAGTACAGGGGCTGTTTTTGTCCCGGGGAGCAGGGAGATTAAAATGCGGCTTCCTCCTTTTCTAAAGCAACGACCTATAGCCGGAGCAAGCAGGACTGGGGAGCGCGTGTGGACGCGCCTGACCAGGTGACTCGCTTTTTGCAGGGAGCAAATGAGCTGAATGATCGACAGGAATGGCCAAGCTTCGCCCTTTAGCAAACACCATGACAGGCCGAGAAACGTCCCGTTCCCCTCCCTTCGTGAGCAATACTCTCTCAGGAGAGGCCTCTCTCCAGCACCCTTAGTCAGAAATAAAGTACACAATGTCCCCAAGGAGCCTGTTTCCTAAAACCGGGCTTAACGAATGCTTCCATGGCTCAAAAGAAGTGATCTACATTATTGAAGGGACAGTTCCACACATCCGCTCCCAGCAAAGCCATTCTCTTTCCTAATTTTGATCTGTTCCTTCTTAATCTGCAACTTCCTCTGGTTTGTGATGCAGCGAGAAATGACTGAAAGGAGCAGGATAGGCGAGCTCCGTCCTTCTCTGCTCTACAAAGCAACTGATATTCCTGGTCCCCCAGACTTGGTCTAACTACACACAGTCGGCACCGTGCCAATAAAAAGCTGTTTCACCTGAATCGGGGGCATGTTCCTAGACCCTGGCAAAGACATCTTGGTAGCTATATTCATCGTCTGGCCACACACCTTGTGGACACACACCATAGGACACTTAGGGGACACACCTCCTTTTTCTTTTTGCTTAAATCCGTGCTGTCCCAGGCCAGCCATGTTAGCACACAGACTCAACACCTAGCTGGGTCATGAGATTGAGTGAAACCTGCTTTTTTACACCCGCCCCCGCTTCAGCCCAGATCCCAAACGCTAGAGCCACCTAGAAGCACTAGGCAGGTGACCAGGAGCCAGTGCAGGGTGACGGGAGCTCCCAGTAGCCGCGGCTGCTTTGCCCCAGGCAGCTTGATTTGTATGAATAAGTGGAAAGTGCTGTCTGAAGATTATAGGCTGCAATTATTCGTGTGATATCCTAACCAGTAGCTGTGTTTAAAACAGGTCTGTGCGCTTGGCGTGGGAGCTGGCCAAGAGGAGGCGCTGTGACTTTATGCAATCAAAGGAGCTTCCTGCACACCTAGAAGTTCAGTGACACACACTTCTCTTACAATCACCCTTTTAGCAGAGGAAATCTAGCACGGAATCAACTTTTTAATAAACCGATTTAATCCGAGTCTTTAATCAGCTGTGTATTGCCGTCGTTGCTTGGAGGATTTTTGGTTTAACTTGGTGGGCATGGAGTGATTTTGTTTGGTTATGTTTTATTTTGGAAAGATTAAAAATATCATTGTGACCCGAGTTATATTTTGGCCCCTTGGTATTGCTGTTCGCCTAGGAAATGTGAGCATCCTTTGCAAGTGTATCAAACTTGTAGGCGTACAGTCCCCTTCCTTCCGCTCTGCAGCTGAGCTGTCTGGGAGTGTAAGACATCGTGGAAAGTTGTTCTTGTCGTTTTAAATTGAAAAAGATATAAAATACACGATTTTGCTTATCTCATACAAATGGAGAATAACTGATCGGACTGTCTCAAAAAAGAAGAACAAGGAGACTACCGCTGCTGAAAGTGCCTCCATGTTTCATGGTTTATTTCTGCAGGAGTGTGATCTCCAAACGGAATTGGAGCATTGACATAAGAGTACTAATTCATATATATCTGTCTATTCGCTCAGACAGATGGTTGGCTGGACGGTTGGTTGGACGAATTGATGGATGGATGGACGGATAGCTTGATATAACATAGCATTCATTGTCTAATGTTATCATCTCTTAATATTTTCTATGTGGATTTCATTTCAATCTGTCTTTTATTTCTAGTGTGACATTTAAAAAAACAGATTATAGTCCAAAGGTTTTATCTCTTTATATCCTTAACAACACATTTGCATCCCTTGTTCTCTCCTGCTGATTTCATGGTTTTGTTTGTTTCCAGGATTTAACTTAATTCTGTTGCCAGATTTTAAAGAAGGGAGAAAAGAAAAAGAACAAAGAAAGGGGTAACAGAAAACGCATTTAGAGGACAAGTTAAAACATATTTCTCCAACCCGAGATATTATCTCTCTAGACAGAGCGTTAATTTATTCTCAGCTACTTTAACAAGAAACTTTTTAAATTGTTTCTGTGACGACTGAGAATTTTTTAAGAATTAAGAAAAAAATGTTAAACTCAAGGACAGGTAAACGTGCACCTAAACGCAGTTGAATTTTTCGACGTGATAAATATCCAACACAGACATTCAGATCAGTTGGGTTGGGTTTTTTTTTTTTATCAGTTCGGCATGATTAGCTCAGGATTGATTTTCAAAACATTAGCTCACCTAATGTTTATAACCCCCCACCCCCGCCCCACCACTGCAGAGACTTTTTACTCCGAAGTAGTACAAGTTCTACCCTGCTACCCGGGACAAGCATCAGGGATGCCCAAGGAGGAGAGTCTGGGATCTTAACATCAGATCAGAGAACAGAAATGGAAAATAATATATTAGATCGTCCTCTTCATCCCTCTGCAAAGGCTGGATTGATCCCCACCGTTTATTCTCGAGTGCTTAGTCCTACCTAATTTTGTTTTATTGTCATTGCCCTTTTCATCTTTTAGCCAACAGAAGACTTTTTTGCCAGGACCTGGAACCACGCACCGCTTAGGATATTGATTACATATCCGCTACTTATTGTTACGTGTGTTATTCCTGCTCCTAGGTGACTATTTCCAAGCACGCTTCAGGGCTGAGGCTTTCTACAATAAAGATATCAAACGGTTTCGGTGACTCACCTGGTGTTTGTCAAGTACAGGTTAATGTCAGTGGATCCGCATTCGAGCCTCTGTTCGTGTTTATTGGGCGACTTAACGTCATGCCTCACCGCTGTGACTCACATGGTTTCTGAACGTATGACATAGCACAAAAAAAAGATCATAAAAAAAAGCCTACAGCTACACAGACGCCTAGTCTGAAGGGCTGACACCTCCTAGGTGTCAATAAAAACATTCAAATCAAGATCGCAGGTTGAAAGGGCAGCTCTTTTTCGGGGGGGGGG